ATCAAGTCTCAACGACTTATTTTTGAGATTTGGGAATTTTTGTTATTTTTTGTAGAAATTTGTGTTTTTATTCAATATTAAATGACATACTGTAGTTAAGAAGACGAGACGACGGTTCGCTGCGAAACGAAGAGAGAGACGGTTTGTTGCAATTGTTAACTACACTTTGCGGCTTTAGATTGAGAAATACCCTTTCCAGAAAATTTCATCACCGCGGGTAGCGCATGCACTGAAATTATAGTTTCACAAGCAAACCGAAATAAGATGCCTTATAACTGACCCACTAATTTTGGTGCGATTCTTTTGGTTACTTAACGTCACGTGTTGCAAAATCACCGGACAGTTATTTCACGCAATGAACCCCGTCTACGTCGATATTTGTCCTCTACGGAGGAAAAAAAGCTAGCGGAGAAAGCTTGCTCGAGAGTTTCAGATTTTCATCTTTATTAATTTACATGAAAGAGAAATGAACCCGTTTAACAATAGTCCAGTAATAGTGGCATAAAACAGCTGATATCAAATACTGCTTTATGAAGTACAAAAAAGTCAAAAAAGTTTTCTGCTAACGTGCAAAATGAAAATTTATGGTAGGGTTATGAAATAAACCTCCTAGCTTGCTGGTATGCCAGCTAATGATGTACTCTGCTTAGAGATTATCCTCTAGATTCTTTTCAAGCTTCGCTTCTCGGCCAGGTATAGACTGAGATTATTCCATAGATAAATGTACACGAACGATTTGGATTAATGAGTTGCGATGCATAAAAAAAAAAGCGAAAAAAACCAACGAGTGAGGGTTTTTTTTTTTTTTGCATCGCAACGAGTGAATACTAATCGTTCAAGCATATTCCATTGTATAACGTTTTTACTTCAAACATAATAAGATTATTTTTCTTACTGACCGAACATTTCAAAGATTGGAGCGAACAACTGTGGAAATACAGCGTTTGTCCAATCAGAGACATGGGAAGTATGAAATGAATTCATCTCTCGGGCAATGTCTCAGACGCGGACATTGCACGCTGACATAGAAGCCCCCCAAGGGTTCTATTTACTAAATAGCATATTCACTATGGAAAAAGACCAACTGACACATCGTAGAAATAAAAAGAAGGTTTATTGTTTCATGGTGACAGGTAATACACCTAAGAATGCACCACAGCGAAATAACGAAAAAAATAGCGATAATGCTAGTGGCCAGAGGTCTGTGTTTGAGATTAGTGGTAGATTTAGCGAAAAGACAAACTACTATTGGTCCTAGTGAATTTCGTTTTCTTGTAATAGACAATGTTGTCTTGCTATGATTTTTTTCCTTTAATATTTTAATCGACCAAAGATTGATAACCATTAATTAGGAAACCATTATTGATTTATAGTTTTTATGTGCAAGGTAACGAAAGCCCTTTGTCATATAAATGATTGCCTTAATTGCTTTAATGGTCGAAGTGTTACATATAGATTGATCAATCTGGTCATCCATCCATTCAATTATCTATCCACCAATCCCCCCAGTTCCCCCTCCCCCCTGTTTCCTTTTAGCTTACTTTGTCGGAACAACGTGAAATTTCTTAAAACATTTAAAGTCTTCATGACTTTGAGTCGGTCGTCGTTTCTGTGCAGATATGTTCCTACATTCCTCATTTTTCTACTTCTCGCCCCCATCCTCACCCCTCGTCACCTCTCGTGGTGAAGGAGAGAGACCTCAGAACGAGGCTGTATCACAATCACATTGAATCAATGGATTTCAGAGCTAACAGGAAATACACTATTACATAGACTAACATAAAATGGTTTTCTTTGAAGCTTTTTTTCCGATCAGATGATCACTAGTCTTCTACATTATTTAATTTCCGATTGGACAGATCCAGTAGTGAATAACACACTTCATATCCGCACCTAAAAACAGAGTTGATTTTCCCTTACAGTGACATCTGTACACGATAGTTCCTGTTGTGGGGTCAGTTTTTGCATCACCAAAGACGTACTCTCCAGCATTGATCGTTGAACAGGTAGCCGCCATAATCTTCATTCCCTTAGAACAAATAACGTTACTTTTCGTCAGCAAGGACACCTGAATTAGCCTTGTACTAATGCTAATCACCCTACAAGTATTCACAAAGATATATTAACTGGTATCCATTTAAAAAAATTATTGACATCACTTCCTGTGTACACATTAAAACAATTATTCTTTTGATTCACCATCATTTTAGCACTAATCACCTCGATTTCACGAGTAGATGGTAAGTAGAAGGTGCCGTGAACCTACCGGGTGTTCATCTTCTCGCAGAATGACTTTTGAATCAGCGGATTTCCCGGCTGTCTGTGTGACTTCCTTCTTGTTCTTGTACTGACAAAGGCTTACATTCCAAGCTGCGTTCTTTCCAGGTGGTCCTGGCGGGCCAGCTAATCCTTGTGATGCATTAATTCCGCGCGGGCCCATTTCTCCTGGAATCCCACGGGGCCCTGGTAAGCCTTGAGAACCGTTGAGACCCCGAGGACCCGTTGGTCCTGGAGTACCAATGGGACCCTTAGGGCCAATGGATCCCGGGGACCCTGGAGAGCCAGGAGGTCCCATTCTGCCGCGTGAGCCTGGAGGACCTGGTGGTCCAATGCAGCGGCTGCAGCATTGCTCCTGAGGAAAGAAAAAAGGATAAATTGTCAAGTTTCAGTTATGTCCATGTAAGGCATTGGTTACAGAATTGTGTTCACCTGTACTGTTAGGTTCTCCATCGCTTTCTTTTGTGTCTGTAACTCGATCATGAGCTTTTGAACCTGAGAGCGAGTAAGATTTAAGGCTTCCTCCAGTTTTGAAATCTTGACTTCCATTTCTTTGCCACCGCCGTCCCTTCCACTTCCAACAGCCTCTGAAAATAGGAGCAGTATTTTGTTACAAACACAACAACTTGTACTAATTCCTTAATCTAGGAGAAGATTGGCGAAATATACTTTTCACGACAATCAATTCAGATGCAAGATGAATCCGGAATATTTTAAATCTATTAGATTTCAGTCTTTGATGACCTCTGGAAAAGTATGCGAAGAGTGATTGATTATTGTTGGTTTTGTCTTCAAAACTTGTCAATGTCGAATCAGTAGTTCTGATTAACTCTGTTGTGAACAGTAGCAGTCATCTTCACCATAGTCATGTTTAAGGTGATTCCTCAGAAGAAAAAGTTATCGAACAACTCTTTTTTAAACTTTCCTTAAATTTTCCCTACCGATGTCTGTTTCGTAAATTACAGTAAAAAGATAGGTCACCGTGCTTGTTTGAGATATGCTTGTACTGGCAATTATCACGCGCATCATTTCATCGGTTCGCGGTACATTTTGCGGTGGCTGGAAGCAAGGGTTTTTAAAGAACCGGGAGGTAACAGTTGAATAAAACTTGGTAGGTAAAGAGTCTCGAGCGTGGGGCACAATTTGATATATAATTTGATGGAAAATCACTTAATTTTAATCGACATTGACTCACAACGTTTCTCAGGACGTTGCTTTCAGTTCAAGGTCGTATTTTACATTCTCGAGTGACGGGCATTATGCACACTTTAAACTATATCTTTTTATTTCCACTTCGAAGACTGTTTTTTTAAATTTCTCCATTCCAAATGGAAACATTTTTGCACCAAAATCAGGCATGAAAAAATATAGGTGACCTTACTCGTTCAAGAGCTAAAGACCATGGTACCTCTTTACCTGGTCCATTAATTGAAAAACAATGCCGTGTTCTCTGTTGGGAGCGCGCTTATTCACCTGATTACGTGATTTTTAGGCGAATTACTTTAAGCGCAGTGCAATCAGGGAATCAGCGTAATGAGCTTTTGTACTAATGATTTAACTTGGAATGAACCTGTCACCCTTTTAAGATTTATCTTCTAAATCGTGTTGGAGGACGATTATTCATCAGATGGAGGATTGAACCTTGCATCTTTTGACTGAAGTACTTCTATTGTTATTATTATTAAGATAATTATCATGATTATTATTATTTTGTTATATTAACTGTGTAAATGTCTGAAGGCGTATCATTAGACATGTTTCTCATGATCATGTTCTAAATTGGAACGCTAGCTTAAAATTGTAGTACAAATCTGCCCTAAAATGATTTACCTTCTATTTGTTAAGAGAACTTCGAAATCCTTGCAGCTTCCAATTTACAAACGGTTTCATCGCTGAGCACAGGGTTGTTCAGTGTGCGAACTAAAGAATTGAGCCGGCATAGTAAATTGGACCTTGCTTATTCTTTGACATCCGTGAATGTTTGAGTCAGTCCTGTCGATTTCTTGAGTACTTATCCTGGAGATTTCATGAGTACTTATCCTGGAGATTTCATGAGTACTTATCCTGGAGATTTTCTTTTTCTTCCAAGTGCGTGGTGTTTTCTCAGAGTTGCCAATTCCCTTCCATAGGACTTTCCAAGCAACACCGTCTTAAAATTTTCCTTTTACAGGTGCAAATTCGGATGTAGCTAACAAGTTCATTTTTTCGTGAGGGGTAATTCATTATCATAAACATAAATCATCTCATTATAGTTTTCATTTTAAGTTGACGGTTTACTGATGATCAAAACTGCCAGAAAAGTTCGGTTCTAGCAAGCAAAACTGACAAAAAGCACGTAACTGCTTCTTCAAACAAGATCCGACGAGTGAACGATGAGTAAAACCTGGATAAAGAGGCAGGGAAAGCTTACAGTTATGCTGTAAAAAGCATGGAACACAACTGATTAGTAAATTCTTGTATTTTTTAGAAGAACGAGGGGACTGCGAAAGTTATTCAAGACTGGGCACTTATTAACTTTTCCTACCAACAGGGTGGGCGCTGCTTATTGAAAGTGGAAGCTTTATCAGAGGTTGAGTAAATACGTTTAGTGGAATTACGTGAATATTATCGGCTCTGTTCTGTATAATACAGTGCATTAATTTTGTGGGAGCAAATTGTTTCTCTGTATTATTACTATAAGAAAACAGGATGGCTTTGAGATGTCTCTATGCTGTTGATGAATAGATCAAATTTCAACCATTGGATTAGTTAGGGTTATCCATTTGACTCTCGTAGAAAAAAGTCATTTTAGATCGGAGCTACGTCTGTACATTACTTGTAGATGTATCATACATAGAATTTAAAGCGGGAGGTGCCACAAACGACTGGTGTTGGGAAGAACACTCATGTTAGAAGGTCGACGTCAAATTTGGAAGAGGATCCTTCTTCGAGTGTAGATAAAATAGTATTTCCTGTTTCCTGCCTTTATCAGCTCCCTCCAGGTTTTTTTTTATTATTATTATTTTTTTGTTTTTTGCTTTATTTTCTATTTCTACGGTCAGCATATGAACTTGAAAGAGGGTGAAAAAAATGAAGAAATGTATAAACTTCAGTTAGCAATTCGCCGGCCGGATTACATCTGCGAATGATTTACTGCAAGGCTGGTGATTGAAATTCAGGGAATCATGTCTTCGTGTCTCGCATGATGATTTTTTTTTCAAATACTTTGCATGTACACTTGACCTTTCATCTCAGTGATCCTTCCTGCTGAAAGCTTTTACATATTCCGGTCTTGCTCTAGGGAATTCTAATTCGATTAATTTCTACGCACATGAAAGTGAAGCTAAATTTCGTTTGGCAGAACAAAATTAATGCTACTAAACAGTTTGCAATAACAGAGGAAATGGCACTTACCTGGTGGCAAAGTAGGCGTTTGATTCCAACTTAAGGTGTTCCCTGAAATAAGCATCATCAAAGTCAAAGTCAGGCCAGCTGCAGCCGTGAGGAGAATAATCAACAGCAGTGCAGTCGTGAAACACATCATGCGACGGCATGAATTCATTTGTTGTCCTGTTGTTTGAGCGACAATGTTCAGTGCGTCGTAGATTGCATCTCGGTGGTCCTCACCAGACTTTGTCTTCATGTCAACCGTGGGTCCCTCAGCGTTGTTCGCAATGACTTCATAAACTCCCTCATTACGATTCAGGTCTAAAGGAGGAAGCTCGTTAGTTTTCTCAATGTCGACCTCTCCTTCTTCAGGTTTTAGAGACTTTTGTTTCATGGTGTTGGTCTGTCCAGTTGTTTTACTTCCACCATTTCCGGAAGAGGGCCGATTTCCACGGAAGTGGATCATTTCGTACCTTGGCTGTTCCTGCACTCCCTTCGGTTGTTGCATTTTGTGCAAGTAAATGAAAAGAACTATCTTCGATCAGTGTACTGTTGTCCTTCCCTCGCATGGAAGAGAAGCGCCTACGCACTAAATGTGGTACCTAAAACCCACGCTAACGTCCGGAGTTTGGTATATGTATTCCGAAATTGCTTGATCTTACGACCTTTGACACAATATTGGTTTCCTTGTGCAAACTGAAGACACACAGACGGAAACTCAGAGGGTTTAAAAAAACCGGGATGTTAATGCGGTCATTTCTCAAGTCGAAGCTTCAAACAATTTTGTTGTCCTTGACTGAGGTTTTTTGTCCTTGATATTGTAATGAAATCACAGTCACAGTGATAGTAAATGTACTGGTATTGTCGCTTACGTTTTCGTTGTGGAATGTTCTCATTGAAATAAATGGACTCGTTCAACACGCAGATAAATTGCGGAATCCAATAACGATCAGGCGATTAAGAGAGCCATGATAGCGTGATGAATAAATACGGTAGACAAGAAAATATCGCTTTGAAACGTTAGTCATAATCCAGACGTGATCACGTGTGTGCCGCATGTAACCTTCTTGCCGAGGCACGTGTAAACAAACCCTCTGTGGATCACACGATCATACCATGTTTGGTGAGTAATCACAAGTAATTTATTTATCGACTTTTTCAACCTGTTTCTCTCTTTTCTCAATCTTTTGTTTTTGTTAGTGCTCTGCCTCAGTCCCTTCAGACTCTTTATCTACTTTCCAGTTTTACGGAGCACCTCCCCCGTCCTCGTGGACTCTATTTTCTTCTCATGGAAAATGTACATTTCGGAAACTCTTTCGTGCATATTGCACAAAATATTTTTATTGTTAAGATTCAAAAACTCAACTTTAATGGAACGTGTTCGAAACTTTTGAAACAATTTCCGTCAGAGTGCGTTTATTTCCAAATTTAAACGGGTATTCCAGAAGTTTCAAGGTCTATTTCTGATTATAATTACATCAATTCGTTGTCATCCAGATAGAGAGTAATGATAACAGACGATATCTGGTTTTAATGAAGTAAAATTCCTGAACTGGGCTCATTAGACGGGTCTAATAAGCTGCCTTCCTCTTGTCAGTAAAGTTTGTTGAGAATCCCATGGTGTGTCAACAAAATTTAAATGAGCAATATATCTTTTCTAAAGCCTTTAAATATCGGCTTGAGTTTAAGTCAATTGCCATGGCAAGGACGAACGTTCGAGAGAAAGTTTAAAGTGTTTTAGGGATGACAACCAGATAGTAAATTTAAAAAAAAACCTGACATAAAACCTTTTGTGGTCGGAAGCAAGTACCTCGTTTTGTTTTGAAACATTACTTGTCTGAATGCAAAATTAAGTCTCCGTTACCGACCCCTATCAAGTTTCTAAACATCACCTGTATTAACTTTGTACTATAAGGGGCGGCAAGTAATCAAAAAAAGAAAAACAAAACAAACAGCCGCAAATGCCGACAGGAAACAGTGGGTTCCCATTACAACATGACCAACCGTTAGGTGTGTTTGTATGTGAGCTTTCACTTTTTTTTTCGTATACTTTTGTCGAGATAGGATTTTGAGGACTTGAGCTAGTTTGCATGTAACGAGGGTTTTGAAAAGGTTAGCACTAGTGCACGATACTTTTGGAATTTTTAATAGAATAGAGAAGTATCTTGTGACACTAGAATCGCCGTGGTGGTCTCCAACCTACCCGCGCGGTGTGTCCTGGTGTGTAAATATTATTGTTGTTTACCTTGCATATGGATATGTACATCCGTTACCGTTTCGTTTTTTGAGATTTTGTTGTTATTGCTTTCAAGCTTTTTTTTTCTGCTGGACGCTTTGCTTCTATTTTCTTTCCTCTTAGAGGCTAATTTTGTACACTGTTTTGAAGGCCACAGACTACCAGCTTCTGCATATTATGATTGTAGTACACGGATTACATACCCCCCCCTCCCCCACTTATCATATTTCCTTTTTCCTTTTTTAATTTTTATTTTAGTCATTTTGCTTAACACACTTCTCCCCTCCCTCCCCCCCTCCTTGATGTCGGCCTACAAAGATGAAAAGATTATTTTGGTTCATTGAAGCTTACACCAACTTGTCAAGAACCCTTAAATTGATAATTGAACAAAGTGCAGTGACGGAATTGTGCTTGAGGTGGTTAATAGTGACCAAGCGACAAAGGAAGATCAAAAGTTCGAAAAAGGTATTTAATGTTTTGTTTGCCACCTTTATTGTTGTCTTATTCAGCCGCCACAGTCAAAGATTTTGCTTTCTTGCCTTATGTGAAGATAAAATGTATGTCCGTAGTATGGTTCGGTACTTCAAATATTTTGTGATAAGTGAAAGCGCTAAATGGGAAACTAGGGATTGCCACTCGTTTATTTTCCGTTCCCCAGTTCTAATGACATATTACCAGAAAGGCCTTGCGCTTAAAGGTAGGCTATAGCGACGTTGACGAGCCTTAGCACGTGTGGTCAGCGGAAGGTATTTCTCGCCCTTGCAACGTTCCTTGCATTGCGAGTTCTTTGAGTTATGACTGGAGGTGCAACTCAAGTTAAACCGTCCAAATGGTACCTGATTTAGACAGAAATGAGGTGATTCACAGAACCGACATATGAAATCTATTTACGTACACTTCCGAACCAGTGAAAACAAAAAATGGCACTGATGCTGATGATTAGGTATAACAAAGGAAGTTGTAGTGCTATGTTCATAACCACCAGGACATTTGTAAAAATGCCCACTTTTGTCACGGTTTCGTGAACCATACAGGACAACTATGAGGCAACTTAATTACATAAATTTCACTGGTCAACAGTTCCTTTTCAAGTTACGGCCATAAAATCTACCCCTCTGAAACTTTTTGCAAGGGGTTTCTCCCCCTCTGTTTTCGATGTGATTTGATGGTCCAATAAAATATAATCACTGAGAAAACCAGAAGGAGAGAAATTAAACGATTACCGTCAATGGTCACTCTGATGTAATTCCCAAATGGCGAGGAAAACTGAGCCATGCTTACTACGTTCTCTACCAAGGTTTTCATACGTCATGCAAAATGGTATCTCTTTAGGAGACTTTTGAGAAAACTTTTTTGGAGACTTTTTAAAATTCTTGTCAACACCCCTTTTTTCGATGAACTGCTCAGTTTTCGCACAAAAGTGATTTCCTATTCGTTTCGAGTCGTCTTACATCCCATCCACACTCGCCAAAGTTGAAACACGTTTTAAAGCTGTTTTTTAAAACTAGTTTAAAATTATTTTTCTCCATTGATGCTGTTTAAACCGATGTTTATCGACTTCAAATTAAGCACATTGAAATTACAAGTTGGTGACTACTTGAAACCCAAGGAAATTATTAATGCACATTGAAATTAAAAGTTGGTGACCACTTGAAACCCAAAGAAATTAAAAAATTTGACGGTAGTTTAGCGTGGTCTGTACTCTTAGCGACAACGATATTTGTCATCACAGTGATCAAAATGATGTGGACTCACGAGACGCATTCGAGTGAGTCTGTAGCAAGCAGGACGAGAGTAACTGGGACTAGCGCAGGTGATTATTATGGGATTAAAAAAAAAGGAAAGGATCGTTCGGGAAAAACAAGGCGGTGAAAACGACAGTCGAGAAGAACGTAACTGTTTGTTGTGTTAGTTATTTCGCGTGATTAAAGTGGTGTGCAACAAGTCCACAACAAATTTACAAACTATGACGGCTGTGATGACAAATATCGTTTTCGATAAGCCCGGACCACGCTAAACCACCATGAATTTGTTTTTTACCGCGGTATCTGCGTCAAAAATAAAACAATTTTTTAATATTTGACACGTTGACGTGAGCAGCATTGTCTGTACTCTAATCGACAACAGCAAATTGGCCAATCAGATAGCGACATTACTGCCAATTGAGGTAAATATTGAGTTTTCGGTTCTCTTTTTCTGATTTAGTCAACTCTGGTTTAATTTATCACGGTTTGCTGGTGTGAATAGGGTGAAAATTTAATGACCTCAAAGCAAGCAACAATTGCCTTAGAATAAATAAATTCTATACTAATTACCCATCACAGTGTCGCAACTTATTTGACTCAGTGAGGCAAATCATTCTTTCCTTTCAATCCTTCATTTTAACAACGAAAACTGAATATTTCGTGTTCATCGTTTTTTGTTTATTATTAGCATCGGCATGAAAGTAATCTCCTTTCAGATCTTTACACATCTATACTACTTGAGCGACGCCTGCAGCGGCCGTGCAAGTCCCAAGGCAACAGAAACAGACTAATACGAATCCGTGAAGAATGTAGGCAGAATTTGTGGCCCAGAATGCAAATAGATAAAGTGTCTTATGGCAGTAGCCCAGACTTGATGGGTCCGTGTAATTCGGCTCATAGTTTGTGTAAATCCATACATTCCCACAAATGAACCAAGCGAAAAGAAAAAATTGCACCAAAGCCTGCAGTGGGTTTACAGTCTGCCCATCATTCTCTTGCTGGTTGTATTTCACACCGCAGGTACAACAATTGGCGAATAGGCTAGCAGCTCCCGCTACTATGAGGTAAATAGGGATCATTTCTTCAACTGGGCAATCGTCTTTGTATTTTGCTCCTAAAAATATGAAAAGTGAAAAGTAATTATAAGAAAAAACTTAGAAAAATAACGATTAAAATGTTGTTTGTCATCTTACCCCGACATTTATTTATTTATTAACTTCCCCAAACAATAACAATCGAAATAAATAGATAAAAAAATGTCAAAAGCAACAGAAAATGGCAGGGACACTGCAACAGCGTAGCCAATTATAACGGGCTCAGAAAATAGTAAAAATAAGACGGGAAAAGAGGAGGAAAGAAACTATCAATCTACATGCAGCAAGTAATCTCAGAATTTAGTGGACGGACAGTGCCACATTTTAAACAATTAGACTTAATAGGTTTAAGGATTATTCGGATCGTAAAAGATAAGTAAACTGGCCAAATAGTAGTGAAACATTACGGTCTAAATGAGTTTTGAGTTTGGATTTCAGTGTTAATGATACTGGCTAGGGTGTACCAAATCCGACAAGTTCTGATGAAAAAAGACTTTCGATAAGTGGTAGCTTTGCATTTTTTAGGAACAAATTTGATGACAGTGTTAGTGTAGCGCGTGGCTCTTGCAACACGCTTTACAGGTAGTACAAAAGCATTCAAAGAGACAAGGCTCTGCGTAGCATTGTAGAAGAATATCACGTCCATAAATTCGGGCCAATACGTGATGGATAGAATTTTCAACGATTGGAGTCTTGTCCTATAATCTATAGATTTTGAGAATGTCAAACAAAAGATGAACTTTGTAGCGCATCTTTAGATGGGCTCTAACTTGAAAATTAGTTCAATGTGATTGAGGAGCCCACACTTAGGTGGCGCACCAGGCCGATGTACAGACATTTTTTTTCGTTTAAGCTCCTCCTCGTTACCAGACTAGATTTTAACTATGCAACAGCAACAGCATCCAAAAAGAAAAAAAAGAAAAACGAGGAAAGGAGAGAGAAATATCTCCACAAGCATTTTCTCTTCCATCCCTTGTTATTTATTTTCGTCGAACCGGAAGCTATTTTTGGCTTATCGATATCTCCATATTTGGTGAATCATGATCGTTTGTCACGCTAATCTTATACAACACTGTCACGCTGCAATGGTTATTTGAATGAGTTGATCTTTGCCCCAGGAGTTTTCGAGGATTGTTTAAAAAAATTACCAACAAATGCATATGATGAGTCTCTCAGAAGAGAGTCATAGCAGTTTGATATTACGAAATCTAATAAACGACTCTCCTAAAATTTATAAAAGTTTAGTTTCAAAGGAGAGCAGCTAAAAAATGTCATCGTAAATCATATTCAGTGTGAACTCACCAATAACTATCATCGCTATCTGGAGAGGGATGGATGCCAAAGACACAAAAGCCATGGCAGTCAGCACTAGAAGAATAAAAATACAACATTAATTGAGGAGATACGGTGAATATATGAAGTTCATATATTTTGAACTGCGGTTACAGATACGATTCATTGAGGAGTTCAAACAATAATTTCCCAGTAGAAAAGTTGACCTTGTTCAAATATCAGTAGAATTAATTTTTGGGGGGTTCCTGTCTTTATTGTGAGAGTATTCCTTCGCCGGGTTCTTCGAACTACGAGTGCTCTGAACTACGGGTTCTCGAATTTTTTGGCGGCCATGATAGATTTTCTATGTTCCGGGAAGTCGGAGGTTCAAAAGATTTATTTTAAATGAGTGAGTCATTTGTCAAAGCATGGTGACTCTTTTCACGGCACTACCCCCATACCAGTCTCCAAAAAAGTCTTTGTTTTAAAGGGTTGTACGATTTCTTTTTTTGAAAGAATTTTTGGGTTATCGCAAAATCTTGCCACAATCGCTAAACTTTCGCTCTATTATAAGTCGCTTGCACGCAGCTCGATCAACAGTACACGATCGATCAAACTTGTACAATTAGCGAAGTCGAATTTAATATGATACGAAAAGATAATAAATGTTATGATATACATTAAATTGCAAAACTTACAAGAGACGAGAAAACCCCAAAAACCTGCTGCAATAGCTTCCATTTTTTGAAATGCTGATATCTTCTCTTCTTGTTCTTTCACAAATGATTCGGTTATCCTCTGTCCTGTGTGGAAATAAAGTTCAAGTTGTGCAGGATTGTTGAATATGTTTTCACCACTGTAGAAAATTTAAGTGACCATCTTGATTGTTTGACTGTTGCAATACTCATGTTCAGATGTGTACTCTGCAAATATAAAGGCTAGTGACACATTGACACAGAACCTATTTCGATTCATTATGGCTCTCTCAGCGATTTTGAAACTTACTCGTGGGCTATTTTTAGGAGAAATAGAAATAAAAAAAGATTTTGACGGTAGTATTCTTTTTCTGGTTTTCCTTTACCAACGCTAATCCACTTCATAAAGACAACTTTTTTTGTTCATTGATAGTGTTTTCTGCATTTGTTTTTTATTTCTTTAAGTTGCACATCCTTAATCATAGAAAACGAAATAATTTATAAAATTTTATTTTCCAGTGCGCTCTATGAATAGCTTGTTGTCATGTTAAGACATTCAGTTTTCATTCAAATCTGTAACGAAATTTACGCGTAACGATTTTCATACCCATGGTTCGTGTACACGTATGAAGCAGTTTATTTCGGATGTATTACAAAAAATTAACAGTTTTAAATGGTGACTACGTTTGTCTGTTCAAGATGGTCGCACTTTACCAAACAAGAAAATATTAAATAAGTGGATGACTAAATCAGAAAAATAAGAAAAATAATCGCGAGAAGAAATAACTTGGCCGTTATCCAGTCCTATTAAACTTCTACGTTTCTTTTCAATTCGTACGTGTTAACATGTGAAAACCTCGATGAAACTGTGAATTCTTGTGAGACTACTTGCGAGAGATGCAAAGTGGAAACCTTTTTAAGACTTAAAAGTCTCCCGCCTTCGCATATTAGAGAACTTGCTCAAATCAGGGCGGTTTGAGTAATGAGGTCCTTATTGACTGATACCTTATAAAGATTGGCTGGAAACTCTTAAAGATTTAAAACACGTTCCTAAAGAAATACTCTTTTCTGACCAGTGACACTTGAACTGTTCATTAGGGACTTTAAGCAGTCAGGACTGCAACGCCACGGAAGACGTCGATTAAAAAATTAGTTTCTACTTTTAGTTAGAATTTCGAATATGGCTGCATGTGTTTACCGTCTCGTAGAGCACCAGACCTCAAACTCAACATAACGCATAAAAGTAGCGCTGAGTTCCAATTGTAAATTAAAATAATTTTCCGCCGTGGTTTCGCTTCGCAGACGACGCAAATTTTGGTGATTTCACGTTTTTGTTTTTCAAAGGACGGCTAAGAAATGTACAAAGTTTTAAGACGCACGTGCTGGGCTATTGTTCTACCAAGTAGATCTGTTGTTTTTCTACGTTCTCGTCGCCGTCTCCGTCGTGGTTTGCTTAAAGTCCCTAATCAACCCAAGAAGGAGACGAGGCGTTGGCCATAACTTGTGACCTACTTTGTTAAAAGAAATGTACCCTCCCCTCCCCCAAACCCTTTAATTTCCGTGGGCTCTCACCCAGAGCGAGGAAAAAATTGACTGAGTATCTTAGGGAGGACTTAAAAACAGAAGTGAGCAGAGAATATTATCAACCTTCCCTTAACTGACCTCTTAAGTAAATATTCAAACACTGCGTGGACCCCACGATCCTAAAATGTTTACTTGAATAATCTAGCTGCCTTATCATTACAACAAAGCACTTTACTTTACCAAGTTCCTTGCAGTAAAGAACTTGTCCTAAATCCCCATCAAATAAAGCAACGATCTTACCAGGTTAACTGCAATTTTAGCAATCGCAGAAGAAAGCCTGAAAAAAAAAAAGAATCCAGGATTTGAATCCGTGCCTCCTGGATGCTAGTTGAGCACTACTACCAACTGAGCTTCTAAGCTATGTTAGGTTGGGAGGCAAATTTTAGAGGGTTCTCGGAATTATT